CCGAGGCCGCCGCAGCCGCAGCCGCCATCTTCCGGCCTGCGCTCAGCACAATCACACTGGGAAGCGGCTCAGTGACAGTCCCGGGAGGTGCAGCACCACCGCCAGTCACCATCCGGGGCCAGGGGGCAAGCGGAGCGCGTTAGCCGGAAGTGAAGTCAGGCGCCCGCACGCACGCGGAACGTCGATTGCCCGGCCGGAGGGGCCAAACTCGGAGGGAGGCTGTCGGGGGAAGGGGAAAAGCAGGGACGGAGGCGGGGCCCCGGGCGCGGGCTGGAGGCCGGCGGGTGGAGCATGCGCGGGAGGGCTCGCGCGTGCCACGCGCCGCGGTTCTGGCCAGCTCCGCGTCCGCAACGTCCCAGTTTCTTCCTGCGAGCCTGGGGAGTGGCGGCTGACGAGTCCTCCCCGCTCCTCGCGGGGAAAGGGGGAGGGGTTGGCCTCCGTGCATTTCCGCTAGGTGGGGACCCCCGCCCTTGCGACCCGTCTGGTACGCCCGGAGGCCTTTTGCAGCAGTTCCAGCTGCCCCCTGACGGTTCCCGGTACGTGCGGTACAGCTGTTCGGCCGTAGCCGGAAGCGGACCTCTGGGTCTCGGCCACGGCCCTGGTGTGAGAATAAACAGTCTGAGAAGCCTCTCGTTTGGATTGGAAGGAACCGAACGACCTTCCCAGACCTGTACCTTTTACCATGCCTGCCCTCCCCATTCCTAAGGCTTTCTGTTGAACAAACGTACCAGATACGAGGTGCTGGAAGCTTAGTTTCTCTATCCACATTCGAAACATCCCGAGTTACGGGAATTAATGAGGGAGTGGGTCTGTGCGCGTGTGGGGCGGGAGTGTTGGAGGGCTAGAAAGGACTAGTCAGTTTGCTAATCATCCCCCCCTTGGAGAATTTTTTTTTAACTTTTTATTTTGAAATAGATTCACAGTTGAAAATATACTACAGACCTCTGTGGTCTTTCTCTCCAAAAGCCATAACCCCTATCTATGAGAAAAACATTGGACAAACCCAAACTGTAGGACATAATTTTAATACCTAAACACTACTTGGAGATAGTACAGAGAGATCCAATTTACTCTTTCAGTTTACCCCAATGATTGCATATTACATAATTTTAGTACAGTCTCAAAAGGAGGGATTTGATAGTTGTGTGATGTGTGTATAGTTCAATGTCATTGTATCACATGTAGATCTACACACCATAGTCAAGATGCAGAGCTGTATGTTCTATATGTTTTGTGATCATTACGTTATTTTGGAAAGACCTAGTTTTCCTTAAAAACCTAATCAAAGAGCTGTTGTGAGGATTAAGAATCGTTGGTAAAATGTGTAGAAGAGCATCTGACAAGTATATAGTAGGTGCTCAATAAAAATGAGTTACTTGCCCTATCACATTTCATGCGAACTTCTTCAGGAAATCTTCATGGATTACCTCAACTACATCTTAAACTATTAGCCATCCGGCTGCATCTGAAACACTTAAGAGATTTGGCTGTATTCCTCTCTTCTTGAGGTCCCTAAAATACAATGAAGTTCCTGGGCCGCCAGAGAGTGACATTCCTTACTCATCTGTGGGAGTTTTTTGTTTGTTTGTTTTTTGAGACGGAGTCTCACTCTGTCGCCCAGGCTGGAGTGCAGTGGCGTGATCTGGGCTCGCAACGTCCGCCTCTTGGGTTCAAGCAATTCTGTGCCTCAGCCTCCTGAATAGCTGGAATTACAGGTGCCTGCCACCACGCCCGGCTTTTTTTTTTTTTTTTTTTTTTTTGTATTTTTAGTAGAGACGGGTTTCACCATCTTGACTAGGTTGGTATTGAACTCCTGCCCTCGTGATCCACCCACCTCGGCCTCCCAAAGTGCTGGGATTACAGGCGTGAGCCACCGTGCCCAACCACTCACCTGTATGTCTGGGAACCCTCAGGCCGGTTTTTCAAAGGAAGACTTTATTGGCTCCATAAAGTCAACCATAGCTCCTTAAAACCATCTGGTCATATCTGAAAATATGACATTCCAGTCAAAACCTGGTTAATATAACCAGTGCCTCTAATTATGTCTTGTTACAGGAGAACACATTTTTATAGAAATGATACAAATAACTATATTGCATAAAAGTAGGAATACTTGGCCGGGCTCGGTGATTCACACCTGTAATCCCAGCACTTTGGGAGGCTGAGGCAGGT